AGATACCCCAGCCTTTGTCAGCTTGATGGTGGAGGACGGTGTGATCCAAACAAGCGCAACGCGATCAAGCCAAGGTACAACGTTAACCCAGCCCTGGAATTGACGAAATTGGACCACCTGGTGTGCTATCCGTCTCGACCCAAGCGGAGACTCTCGCCTTCCCAGGACTCCATTCTTCCGATCATCAATGTCTTTCAAAGAGCTCGACTGGGATCACTGCAAGGTCCCCCGGAAGCGTGGACCCTTAAATCCCATTCGAAAACACTGACAATTGGTGCGAGCTTCATTAATTGCTTACGCACACTTATACTTGTTGCTGATTGCTACAAATCAATCCTTCGGGTCGCATTATGTCATCATCATCTGTGCTGTCACTGCGGTTGGCATTCACCAGCCACGCACAACAGCTGCTGTATCCATACCTAATTCCATCTGATGTGTGATGTCACACTCTCGATAATTTCGTACGCTCTTTACTTTCTCGAATCTACCTGCCTTAATTCTCATATGCCGCTGGATGGTAGACTTTCTCAGCACATTTTTCGAGACGCGATAGAAAGCTCAAGAGATCACACCAACTTGAGACAGAGTTGGTGTGTTCGTATCTCCGACATGCATCCCATCCTCGTGGCTACCCTTTCGACGTTGCGAACAAGGAAGACAGGGGTCACATGTAAGACAATCAATATTACACAAGAACCATCAGCCACTTTGCTCCTCAACATCAGACGGCAGCTTGAGCTTTCGTACTCCGGATTGATTCTGGATCCCCGCACTTTCGTGGTCCCTTGATCTGCTCAATACCAACATACCTTCGAGCACATTTCAGTCATAAGAGCGAAGCCCTCTACAACCATGTTCGGAATCTTGCGGCGCCATACGGATATCCAAGCTGGCAATCGCCATCCAGCATTGAACGTCTCTTACCATAGGGTCATACTCAGTCCCATTCCCAACCACCCTCAGCAACCGTTCGCAACTTCCCAGGCCGTTCCAAAGCTCTCAGCTCACTTGTCCGACACTTGCCAAATCTAGCGCTCAAACTGAAACTCAAAAGACTCACATGGCGCCTTCTTGGTGTGCTTGGAAGCAGGGGCAGCCACACCTGAGGGCGTTAGGTAGTCAGCGAACAGAAATGACCGCGTCTGCTACCTGAGGTGTCTTATCTAATCAACACACAATCTCTTACCTTATCGTGTGTTATCGCTTATCGCCATTCCTGACGTCGCCTTCCTCATTCACTGCACGAGCTCCGGCCTGAGACCAGTGGAAGTTGTCATCGTTGATTGAATCCACAACACAGTCGTAGGCGATTGCCATGGCCGTGTAAACCAGCAACTGCACACATCCATGCACATACGCAGCCATCCCCGGTGGCTCATCCTGACGCGTCTCGACATGGCGCCTCGATTTCTCAACAGCCATCATGTCCATTAAGCCCTTGCCAGAGGACGTCACCCGCCGCATCAGGTCCTCAGCCACAGTTACGTCTCTCAACGGTGTCGCATGCGCTCTCGTCAAGAATTCCCTCGATGCCGAGGCTACAAGGGTCAATGTTACTATCGACTACTCTCGTGGCAATTGCACGGTTGAGGACGACGGGCTAGGCATTCTACCTGTTGAATTCCAAGAGCATGGAGGACTGGCCAAACAGCATCGTGAGCTACATGAACTCATCTTAGCGCGCACTTTGCTAAAACATCTTCAGACACATCAAGGCTCTCGCCCGAGACAGACTGCCACGGTGTCAACGGCAACTTCCTAGCATCTGTTGCCGCTCTGTCTCTGCTCTCCGTCACCTCCCACCACCATCTCTACAACTCGCAAAACTCAGTCACCATTCACAACTCAAAGGTCTTGGCACGCAACATCCCTGCCCTACCGGAGCAACACCTAGTGACCTTCAGCCATGGAACCCGCGTCACCGTTAGAGACTTGTTCGGCTCCATGGCCGTCAGAGTTAAGCAGAGAGCTGCATCCTCAGAGAAAGTCGCAATGGACAAGGATTGGGGCCGATTACTTCATGACCTCACTGCTCTGTTGCTAGCCTGGCCTTCGAGTGTTGCTCTCTTCGTCCGAGACAGTGTCAACAACAACGAGACACGCTTCAGGCCTAACACAACACCCAAGTCGGACATGGTAGCTCGTTCATCACGCACTCTGACACAATCAGGTCTTGTGGACGGCTTGGGCCAAATAGTCTGGACTTCCATCGGCGCATCTGTTGGGAAGTTGACCATCGCAGGGTGCATAGCGCTGAAGCCCGTCGCCACACGTCGAGCTCAGTTCATTAGCTTTGGTATCCATCCCGTGTCTAATGAGTACGGGACCAATGTTCTGTACAACGAGGTCAATCGTGTGTTTGTCAACTCCGGCTTTGCCATAGAGGAGGACGTGGATGTCCGAAGCGATTCGACCGGTGTCGTTCTCCCACATCCGCAGGGAAATTCAACAAAAATTACCAAGCTGAGGCGAGGCTTGGATCGGTGGCCAATATTCTATTTTCGTATCAGCTCTTCGTCCCGTGCACGCCCTCTCGTAGCTTCATCTTTCGAAGACCTCCTCGAAGAACGTAACCACACCCTCGCCAACATGATTGACCTGCTCAAGCTTGTCTGTTACGAGTTCTTGAAGAAGCATCATTTCCGTCCTCACAAAGTCACTACCTCGCTCCAGGGTTCTTCTAGTGGCAAGCATCAAGAACACGATTCTCGGGAAGGGAGACGCAGAGACAGCAGCCGGTCGCGGACGGTCTCGTCAACGACCAGTCGATCAAATTCGGCTACCCCGCTATCGAGGCCAGAGTCTCCTTTCGATCTCTGGCAACGAGTCAAAATGGGAAGAACATCGGCAGGCACCTCGAAATCGGGAGCATCAACTCCTCTATCCTCGGAAGTCGCTCTAGGAGCCACGATCAGGCCCACTGCGGGACAAGAGCCAGGCGAGGACATCACGAAAGCTCAGCCTAGTTTGCGGTACCTCGACGAGTCCGGAAATCTGCTGCGGAAGCCCTTTGATGACTTGTTGCCGAAGTCGTCGTTGTCAAAGGAGGTCGAACCTGGCAACCGTTCCAGCGCTACAAGTGAGGCTGCTGGTCAAAATCAACTTTCTACGCGACCATCGTTCGAGGTAGAGGAAAGTCAGTCGAAGTCATCTTCGGCAAAGCCCAACGACAAGGACGCAGTACGAGGCCACGTCAACTTGCTTCCTTCTTCTTCCCAATTCTTCAAGCCACGGGATGGCCTAAAACCTCAACCGCCGAGCGATAGGCTCAGGGGTATTCTTTCGAAATGGGAGAGTCCCGTTTTTCAGCCCGTCGACCCCCCCGTACCTCAACTGGATGGTACACAGGGAGGACCAAAACAAGGTCTGATTCAGTCCCTAGACCTTGACACCACTAGATGTTCACACGGGGCCCACACGTCGAATATCAAGCTCTCTGGCCGAGTCTCCAAGGCTGCTTTGATGGAAGCAGAAGTCGTCTCCCAGGTTGATAATAAGTTCATTCTGGTGAAACTCAGACGAGATCTGATTTCTGCCGGAAATCTGCCAGGCGCCCAAACGAATTCTGTACTAGTCTTGATTGATCAACACGCCGCAGACGAGAGATGCCGACTCGAGTCACTGATGCGGGACTATTTTTACGTTGCGAATCGTCCGAAAGAGGTGCTTGCACAGACGGAGGCTCTCGAAAAGCCCTTACAATTCGAGTTCTCGTCCAAGGAATGCAGACTGCTGCGCAAATACGCCCACCATCTACGTCGATGGGGAGTTTTCTTCGATATTGATGAACCGGAGCCGACAGCTTGGCGGTACAGGAGTAGGCAGCTCCCCAAGGTGGACGTGTTCAGCCTGCCACCAAGCATTCTTGAGCGGTGCAGATCAGAGCCAAAATTGGTCGCAGACCTTCTTCGGCACGAAATATGGAGAGCCGAGGAAGACGGCAGCCCAGCTTCCAGGCCCTTCAGTTTTGCTGCTGGAGGTAGCAGTCAAGAGATCGACTGGGTATCGAACTTTCACGGATGTCCCCAAGGGATCATTGACCTGCTTAATTCGAGATCCTGCCGCAGTAAGATTGAATTTCCAGCTTTGTGAGAAGTCGTGACGCTAACTCGAGTAGGTGCCATCATGTTCAACGACGTCCTGTCCAGGGACCAATGCGAGGCTCTTGTTCGCAGGCTTAGTCGGTGCTCGTTCCCATTTCAATGCGCACACGGACGACCCTCCATGGTGCCATTGGTGGATATGAGAAGCTTGGGTGCGAAGAAGGAGACGCCTCTGGACAGCTTTGGGAGCTGTCTGAGGGGCTCGGGCATATTAAAGTGAAGGTGGTTCTGCGATACCTAGCGCTGCTTTCCATGGTCATTTAAGAACTAAGATACCCCCAAGCGAGTGTTTACCAAACGAAGAAGGCATTGCCCATGGTTGAATGGTGCCAATGGGTCTCAAGCGAAGTTAGGATGCCATTCCTGCCAAAGCGAAATGCGTGCTCATTGCTCTAGACTTTTGTTATCGGAGAGATTCATGGCTCTTTTTTGCAAGTCTTGTAGATTTTGCTCACTTTTTCATTTGTGATTGATACATTTCTGTATTCCTTTGAAGATTTGTATGGATATTTTAGAGGTATGAACTTATTTCGGTGCTCATGACGAGCTTGTTACCCAGGCGCTTGGAAATTCATATCACCAAGGCAGATCCCAAGGCGGATATAGTGAATTAAATTGGGGGGATTACTTGGGGCCGAATAACGCCGCCAGAGTTTAGACCAGATCCAGCTGGGCCGGAAAGTTGCTCAGCTCAGCCTTACAAGCACCGTCCATACTTTGTGAATATCGGGTATTTAGTTCGAGCTAGCCCCCGCGAAAACCCCAGTTCGAGGACCTCGTCACATCTTCCAATCTTGCATCAGACTTTGACTCCCTTGAGTTGTATATCTAGCGTTTGTCTTTGATGTCGTGCTACCCCAGAGCCTCATCCCCGCACTCCTCGCCGCAACCAAGATGACCACCCCAACTGGCCCCGTCTACCGGTACAAATTCACGATCCTTCCCGAGTACTTTATAGACTACTACGAGGCCGCCAACGCCAGCCCGAACGGGAAACTAACCACGCAGCCAGGCCTCGGACTCCTCGACATGCACTTTGGAGACGCAGCGGCTGATGACGACGTAGTAATCGAGGGTGGCGCCAGGCCCTGGGAACGATTCGCCTCTCACGTGAGGAAGCTCAACGCGGAGAGCCCCGACGGCGTGGACTACAAGGTCCTGTACCTGACGAGGCACGGCCTCGGGTACCATAATGTCCAAGCAGCCAAGGTCGGCACGGCTGAGTGGGATGTAAGTTTTTTCCAAACTTTCTCATTTTTGATGAAAAATCGAAGCACTGACGAAGAGCGATCAGCGATACTGGTCTCACCTAGACGGCGACGGCGTCGTAATCTGGCTCGACGCGGCGCTCGTCGACACAGGCATCCAGCAGGCAAAAGACCTAACCACCTGCTGGGCGCGCGCAACCTCCACCGCCGCCGAGGGCGAGGGCGTCCCCTTCCCGGAGTCCTTCTACACGAGCCCTCTCCGCCGGTGCCTCGAGACGAGCAACCTCGCCTTTGGGCCCCTCGTCGAATCCAAGGGCGCGGGCCGGGAATTCCGACCCGTCGTCAAGGAAGGGCTCAGGGAGCGCATGACGGACCACACGTGCGACAAGAGGAGCCCGCGGAGCTGGATCGAGGGCGCGTATCCGCGGTACCGGATAGAGCCTGGCTTCGCGGAGGAGGACCGGCTTTGGAAGGCGGATCGGTTTGAGACGGCGGAGGCGCACGTTGCGAGGAAGCAGCTTGTGCTGGAGGAGATTTTCTCGGCGGATCCGGCGGTGTTTGTGTCGTTGACGGTGCACTCGTATGCTATTTCGGCGATATTGAGGGCGGGTGGGCAGGAGACGTTTAGGGTCCGGGAGGGATCTTCCATTGCTTTGTTGGTTCGTGGGGATAAAGTAGGTAGGTAGGTAGGTAGGTAAGTCGCCGAGTGCCATAAATCAAAACTTTGCCGCTACCTTACTGAGGGACCCTATTTTCCATCACGACTAGCCCCTGATCACCATACGTTCTTCTCATCCCGCGGAAGCAGCGGAGCCTTCTCGTCATGCTCCCCCTCCGCCTGCCCCAACGAAGAGGTTCTCCTCGCGAGCTCGCGAAGCATGGCGGCGTCTTGCCTGCGCTGCTCCCCGCGCTTCTTCTCAAGTTCTTGCCTCCTCTCGTGTTCCTCGAATTCCCGAATTCTCCGAGCTGCGCCCTCCCTGCGTTCTCGCTCCTCGCGCCGAGCGTCCTCCTCGGGGTCGTCGGTGGAGCGACGGAGCGACGTGGTATGCCACACTGCGATAATGACGATCACCTGGAAGAGCACGGCGGAGATGGCAAGCATTGTAAGGCCGGGGTCGGGCATGATGAGGTAGGTATCTTGTCTGCTTAGGTATGTTAGTGATATTGCGATCGGTTATTCGCATGCAGAGAGGGACTTGCTGTGTAGAATAGGCGATTTCGATTCTTGCTTTGGTGAGCGCGTTTAAGTCTAGTGCAGTGTGATTTATCTTTGCGGGTACGTCTTGGTAGATAAATATGACTGGCTTATTGAGTATTGTAGATGAAAAGGATATAGAGGAGGAAGATCCTCCCGAAAGAGGATGACAGAAGGGTCGGCTCTATAACCCAGAACAAAAGGTTTCTTCCGCCCATGGTTCTGTGACACCTTTTCGGCGGTGTACCTCTGTGAATACGGGGGACACGGAAGCCAGCCAAAGCCCGAGGGCTTCGGGTCCGAGTGGGGCACATCGGGGGCTTAGATTCCGGGTATCGTGGTGGGCCGAGCAGCTCCGGCCCTCCGGGTGCCACCCCGCTCTCCATGATCGAGATCCACAATTTCTCAAGATGACGGCTGACGGCGAGAACCATGTGCTACGAAGACCTAATGTCAGGTAACTAGGTAGGCTGGTAGATCACTGAATGCTTACTTGGCTCTTGGAGCGTTTTTTCTTTTTCAAAAAATGAATAAAGTATAGGATGTAGGTTGGCTGGAGGGCATCCAGATAACTCCAACCGCAGTCTATGGTTTGCTTGAGAAACGCACCACTTGTCTGGTACTTGCGTAGAGTAAGCCGAGATTGACTTTCCATCTGAGTGGAAACGTATAAGAGGATTTGTAATGTAATCATCCCACGTTCTCTGTCCTGCAAAATGGCATGAAAGTCACGGAGGCCTTGAATCGTACAAGCTCGTCGCTTGACAAAACTAGAACCGTAATCTTCACATGTATGGAATTCTGGGTATTGATATTTTGCGTAATATGTGCAATGTGTGATGCATCAAGCATGATATTTACGTCCTCGACGGTAAAGTAGTAAGATATGTACATGAATCTGTCGTTGGTCTCTTTGCGTGTGCCCGACTCAACACCTCCCCCAATTACAACCACTGAAAGACTCCAACAGGAGAGATAAAAAGGGGGCAAGCAATCCAAGCAAAAGCGCTTAGAGCTTGCCGAAGCCGGCGCTGGTGGCAACAGCCTTGGCGTCGTTGGCGGTGCCGGCAGAAGCGACGTTCTTACCGGCGAAGTTGGCGAGGATGGAGGTGTCGGAGCCGACCAGGGTGCCGCTGGAGCCGTAGGCGTTGAGCTGGCAGGCGTGGCCGAGGTTGGTGGAGCACTTTGCGTTGGTGGTGGAGTCGGGGGAGGCGAAGACCTGGCCGGCGAGACCGGTCTGGTAGGCGGCGACGACGTTCTGGAAGATGTTGCCCTCGGCGACGATCTTGGCACCGGCATCGGCCTCGAACGCGTGGCCGGAGTTGTCGTACCAGTAGTTGTTGACGGCGTGGAGGAGACTGTGATGGATTCTTGTTAGTCGGAAAATTCGCTAGCACCAAAACTGGAAGGAATTATACGTACGTGTTACCGGCGACCTTGGGAGCTCTGCCAGAGGTGTGGTGGACGTAGTTCTTCTTGAAGGTGACCATGTCGTTGCTGCCGGTGAAGTAGAGTCCCCAGTAGTGGTGACCGTCGCAGGTGGCGGACCAGGAGGACGAGCCGTCAATCTCGTTGTTGGAGATGGTGACACGGTTGGAGGCGCCGTTGCCGAGGACGATGTGCTGGCGGCCGATCAGGGAGGTCTTGACGTGGTCGATCCAGACGAGGTCGGAGCCGTCGAGAGTGATGGCATCACCACCCCAGACGTACTTGGGGTTCAGGTTGGTGATGTGGATGTTCTAGCACCGGTAGTTAGCCCCTGGCCGGCATGATAGTGACTAGTCCAGTGAAATAAGTCTTCATACCTGGATGATGATGTTCTTGGCGCCGCCGGTGATGCGGAGACCCTTGCCAATGATGACACCCTTGCTGCCCTGTCCGATGAGGGACTTGTTGGAACCGAGCTTGATGGGGTTCAGGCCAGCGTTGTCGTAGCTATGAAGCGAGGAAGTTAGTATCATGAAAGTCACTGTATACCCGCAGGATGTAAGTGATTCTCTACGTACGTCGTGGAGACCTTGGGGGCGTTGGGCTGGTAGTTGGTGCACCAGTTGTCCTTGTTGATGGCAGTCTGGCAAGCAGAGCCGGTACCCCAAGGAGCGCAGCCGGTGGCAGTGGTGGTACCCTCAGTGTTGCGGAAGTCAAAGGTCTTGGTCAAGACGATGACGCGGGCGGAGGAGTCGGTGAGGTAGGAGACGAGCTCGGAGGTGGTGGAAGGGTAGACGGGAGTGGCGCTACCACCACCGGTGGTTCCCTTGGCGAAGCCCTCAGCGGCGCCAGAGACGGCGTCGGCTGCGAGAGCCAAGGGGGCGAAGGCAGCCAGTGCCACGGAGAGAAGAGCAGATCTCATATTTAGAAGGCTTTCGAACAAGAAGAATAAAAAGGTAGATACAAAAGAACGAAGAGGGTTTGGTCGGATGTGAAAGAGAGACAAGAGGACGAAAGCCGCTGGAGTAAGAAGGGAGCTTCCAAGTCAAAGAGCGCGGCTCAAGGTCGATCATATATGTTTGTTTGGAAACTGTGCCGCTGTTCGACGCCGCTCCTTCAACGAAACCCCCTTCCTCCATGTCTTCCATCTCCTTTCCCAGGCAACCCAGGTAGTACGGATAGAGTAGCCCCCTAACCACCAAGCCTTCGAAGAGAACCCCCCACCAGCAGGGCCAGACGAAGGCCTCATCTCATCTCACGGCTCCTCATCCTTCTAGGCCTTCGAAAGAAAAGCACGCCCCCAATTACGCAGTCGGCCGAGGAACATTGCTTAACCCACCCACACTACTTTCCGAAGAATCATGGCGTTGGATGCCGGAGCCGACTTGTTCGAGGGATAGAGTGGTGGGTAATCCCCACTGATTCGTGGGGATTTGCTGCGCTCTGTGACCCCTTCATCTACCACGTCACCCCCGTCCGACCCGGGGTTGCGGTGATAGCTTCGGCGGCACAATCCGAATCGAGCCCGTCGACGAAGACGTTCGGCCTAGCTCGCGGGCCCTCGCACGGCCTCGCATTCGTCTGTGGCGTCACTTCCATCAATGAAAAGACGAACAGAAATCTCCGCTGGTAGGGCCGCGTTAAGGGGGGGAGGGGCGGGAGTTGGGAAGTGTGGCTGCCCCCCTCCCGGAGACTAGAGACTGCCAGCGATGGAGCACGGAGAGGACCTGCTGCAGTGAGATGTCACGGGGTCACGGGGTGTCCAAACCAGTCAGTACTCATGTCCACGAGCGGCAGTTCGCGCTCCTAGGGTGCCATTCGTTTTTGAGAGGAGAGACTACTCCGTCTGCAAGGTGCCAAACATGGGTTCAGAGAAATTTCCGCCACTAAGGACACATGGGATCCGAGAAAAGGGAGCTCCAAAATGCAGAGCACCACGCTCTACTCCGTAAGCTCTCCATAACTCGTTCCGATGAAACGGTTGGAAATTTCCCGGTTGATGGCGTCTTACTAGGTAGGTATGCGTACTTTCTGGCATTTGTTAGCATTAGCAAACTCGGGCACGCCACAAACGCCGCCCTGCGGCACAGACATTGAAGAGCAATACGCGCGTGGGCATTGGCATACTCTAACTCACAGAGACTGAGAGACCCAGTAATACATCAGAACAAATCAGGGGTTGTGAGAAAATAAACTAACAAGCTTCTAGCCTCGGCCTGTCTCCGACTCTACGTGTGACAATGTCACATACCGCAGTACTATGTCGTCCTGAGAAGGGATAAGATCTGTTAAGCATAAACCGCGGTAGGCGCATCAGGCTCCATTTATTTGGCCCAAGCTCCTTCGTGGACTTTAATTTTTACTTTTCGGTTACACGTGTATTGTGAGTCGTGACGGCAGTCAGTCTTCCCCCCCGTACTGCAAAAAAGAAACCTTCTTCTCAAGGACGTGGTCTGCGGAGGGAGAGAAAGTCAATCGGAAGCAGAAAAAACACACACGCCATTTCTGCTTGGTGCGGGTTGTCTCTCCTTAGTGTTTCGAGTCAGGATGGCATGGGCAGCCGGATGCCTCGAACGGGGTTAGTTTGGACGGGCTGATTATGAGAACTAGGCGGCTAATGCCTTTGGCTGACATTTCTTCTCCTTCACAATCCGTGCCCATTCAGGGGTGAGATCCAATCCCGGGCAGAATTTGTACACCAAAAGTTGTCAAGGTCCCAGAGACCAGGATATGCATGCCAAGAAATAGATTGAGCCTCAAGCCCAGCCCACGAGGAACTCGAGGAAGCCCCATATGGAGGAGCCACAGCCCACAGGGAGCCACATCTTGAACGATACCCGTTATCAAGCCACAAGGATGACGAGGATGAATTGTGGTTCCCGTCACTTCTTCAAAGGATCGACTTTTCCGGTGAGATGGAAACTCTTGTGGGAACTCTGGGAACAGCACCAGAACACCCAGTATTCCCGACCTGTTCCCTTACATCCCTTTGGCCATCAAAATTGGATCTCGGCTCTGTTTGCCGGGACACACGGCAGCAGCGGTCAGACCGTCAGAATGGCGGATAGAAGCGAACCAGAACCTCCAAAGCCTCCAATCATCATGGCTGACCTGGACCTGTGTTTACTGTGATCGGCAACTCTCTTTCCTGGGAGGGAACGCTGTTCCATAAAATATGGCTTTGTGAATTGTCAAGGTGCCATTCAAAGTTGCAGTTCATATATTTATATTAACTCCTCGGTACGAACCCCCTCTCCCCTCCTTGTCTTACCAATGCTGATGGAGGCGAATTGAATTCGATCTCCCACTCCCCCCCCCCCCCCCACCGTCCCGACCCGGGCGTCGTTTTCCCTTTGCCCATATTGCCAGTTCGCAAACTCATACGACTTTATACTTCACCAGGGACTCTGGTATTCTCAACAAACTCTCTCTCGCGTGCCAAGATCTCCTTCTCAGCCTTGGTGTTACCCTCCTTAGGCAGGTACGAGAAGATGACAGGAATCAGCGCCGCCAGAATAGTTCCGAAGCCGGTGAAGGCGCCCGTGACCGCGAACCCCTTTACAAACCGGGGCCCGTCCGACGAGGGCCAGAGCCTACTGCCGTAGACCGCCGAGAGATTTCCGACAGAGTTGACCAGGGCCACCACCACGGCGCGCTTTTCCGCAGGGAGCGAAATGACCTCGGACGTCCAATTAAGCATGAGCGGGAGCGCCGTGTACAGGCCGGCAATGTAGAAGCACAGCATGGCGTACACGACTTTGGGGTTCGACACGGTCACGCAGACGAGCGTGCAGATGAAGCTGAGACACATGCACCCCGTGATGTGCCACCTGCGGTCCCTCGTCTTGTCGGCCGTGTACGAGAGCACGAGCAGGAAGACGGCGCCGACCATCCAGATGGGGATGGTCATGTACTGCGCCATGACCGACGTGTAGCCCATCTGCTTGACGATCGTGGGGATGAAGTAGGAGATCGTGCAGGAGCCCAGGTCCATCGTGAAGAGCACCACAAAGATGTACGTCCGCGGGTCGGCCAGCGCGGCCTTGAGAGATTGCCAGTGAGTGAGGCGCTGGCCGTGTCGCGCCGCCGTCGTCTGCCGATCGTGGATCATGCGGACCACGGCGAGTTGCCGTTCCTCCAATGAGAAGCGCTTCGTTGTCTCGGGGAAGTCGAGCAGCACGAACTTGAAAATCATGGCGAACCCGACCGTGCAGACGCCCTCAATCAGATAGAGCCATCGCCACCCTCGCATGCCGCGAACGCCTTCCATATTACCGGTGATTGCGCCAGCGAGGAGGCCGCTCACGGCGCCGGAGCACACAGAAGCGGTGTAGAAGATTGAAAACCTCTTGCCTGTAAAACGCAATTTCACGTTAGTACGAGCTGACGTAGACCAGTTGTGGGGCTTGGCATATATCTGTACTTTAGCTACTTTTACAGATGAAAAGTAGATTAAAGTACGGGACTCGCGGGTGATACCGTGATAGTAGGTAATAAGGTAGGTAGGTACTTACCGATTTCTGCCTTTTTGTACCAGCAAGTCATCACGTACAAGACACCAGGGAAGAATCCGGCCTCGATGCAGCCGAGGAAGAACCGAAGAGCCAGCATTCCTTCGTAGTTCTTGACGACCGACATCACGGAACATACGGTGCCCCAGACAATCATGATACCGGGTAGGTAGTACGACGGGCGGGATCGAGTGAGCAGCATGTTCGAAGGAACTTCGCAGACGAGATAGCCAATGAAGAAGATCGAAAGCAACATGGCATACTCTGCATCATACATCATCTTCGTCAATACCGAATTCTTTGACTCCCTCCGGCTGGACTTGTGTAGGGGCGCTTACGGTCATCTGTGAGTTTGAGGTCTGCTTCCATACCAGCAACTTTGGCATTGCCCTTTGTGACAAGTCAGTTCGGACACCCCTGCGTGTAATCTGCCGCGATAGACTCACGATATTCTGCCTGTCGATGTACGCTAAAATGTACATGAACCACAATGTCGGCCCCTGCCATGGGCGTTAGCATCGCGCCATTGCTGACTCGGATTTCGACGACTGTTCAACCCAGCAGACGAGCCAGGGGGGGTGAAGGGAGGGGGAAAAAAGCCTAACCATGTATAAGTCGAGCTTCCGCACGAGGGCCTTCTCTTCCGGAGAATCTGGAACATAGTTTGCCAACGCTTGTTCCAATTCCAAGTCGTGCTCGGATAGTGTGACTTTCTCAGTGTACGCCTCGGCCGTGTCCGCAGCGTCGGAAACCTCTGGCTGAGGCTTTTCTGTCTTGATGTCGGCCATGATGAATGGAACTGTTTTGGATTTGGCCTGGACCGGACTCAATCACAACTCAAGCAACGCGTCGATCACGGAGACAACATCACCAAACATACAACTTGAGGGAAGGGAACTAATGCTCTTATAAAGTCTTATCTACTATTGGTGCTGACGATCAACCAGCGTATCACGCGTAATGCGTGCACTGAGTCGGAAAACTGTGTCTATCCTTGATACGGGACAGATAGAGTTGGGCGTGGCTAAACCCCGCATTGTTATCGGTAGTTCAACTAGACTACGGATAGGTAAGGTAGGTACTTGGACAGTTTGATAGACAGAAACCAGGATACCCGAAACAACTCGTTATCTCCTCTGCGACGACCGTATCTTCGCATGTTCTATCCCAGCCACTATCACTGTCCCCCGCGTTTCCACAACAAAGATAATCCGTACCCGTACGGGGATCCGTCATGCCGGCTGCAAAATGGTAGATGACCAGCCATGCGTTAGACTGCCTGGGCAGTTATTGGTAGTATCATTCCGGATATCGATAACCACTGGAGAGCGGGTCCGGTCCCGAGACCGGTTGGTCTGTGTGACCCGGCCCGGTGCACTTCCTGACGGACGAGGACGAGGACATCCTCTCTGTCAATGCGGCCGGCATTGCTCAACAATTCCATAAGAAACCTCATTTACAATCCTTCCCGGATAGGTAGCTGCCAGGGAGCATACCTCTTTCGTCTATCTGGGTGGGGCCGTTGGTCTCCAATCCTTGGCCGCCTCTATATAAGTGAAGTCCTTGTAGCCTCTGTCGAGGAAGCCTGCAATAGCAGCTCTCCACTCTCCGCTGTCCGGAACGAGATAAAGCTCGCAGACGTTTCCGAGACCTTCTTCCATTTGGCGAGCCGCAGTCTCCATAATGCGCATATTCTTGAAGTAGGCGAAGGCGATGTACTCGCCGGTAGCAATCGCCCCATAGCGAGTTCTGTGGATCTTGCAGTACTGGCCAATCTGTTGAGAACATATCTCAACATTGCAGTCCATCTTCTTGCCGGAGCGCAGCTGTCGGGTGACTGCCGCCTCTCGGTGTTGGTCAGCGTCGGGCTTTGTGTCGACAAGCATATCGACGTCAGATTCGGCTCCACGGCCATGCTCGTCATCCTCCTAGGTGACTCGAGTTTTGGTGTCGTCGATATCCAGATAGACATCCGGGTTCGAAATGTCATTGATTTGATAGTTGCCGGCAGTGTAGTCATGGGCGATGATGACTGGCTGTTCATCGGCACTGGGTATAGCGATGGTTCTCGTGCCAGCGGCGGTCTTCCTGCCACCGAGGATCTTCTTGCCAGCGCCGAGTTCGCCATCACCTTGTCGTGCGGACCGAATCCAAGCTTCCATTGGTATGACATATGGTTGCTTGAACTCAATGTTCAAGACGACTTTACTCCTCTCGTCGTCAATGGTCTTGCCCGGTTGCGTACCTTTCCTGATCTCCATGTCGCAGCGAAAAGAGTACTTGAAATCTTGTCCAGCAAGGACGCTTCTCTTGGGGCAATGACGCTGTGCCTTTGCGACAACCGTGCGAGTGTGCTCGCAAAGAGTCTGGACGTCTGTGTGCCGCTTGTATATCTTGACTGCGGGTTTGTTGGTAGGTGTGCGGGTCGCTTGGTATGTGCGAGTCTCCTGGTATCCAGAAACGACACCGGCGAAGACGTCTTTGTACAACCACTTGGTCAGCATGTCCTCATTGTGTATGACGAAGGCCGAGTCTTTGGGGGGCCGCTGTGTTTGTCCAAAATCCATGCCGATGAAGTGGCCAGCATCTCGCGCTCTTTGGAAAAGAGTCACGCCCTCGTCAACGAGTTCGGTGGAGTCGCAGAGTTTCAGAACGAAATCGATCTCGAGTTGGGCCACCGATTCGCTGGCTTTGTGAGTGTACCGCTTTCTTTCGCCTGCGGATGGGGGGTTTTGTGGCAAATGGTTGTTCAAAGGTTCGCGCTGGATGATGGCATCCAGAAGCAGGAGGGATGATGCCATCGTGAGGCAAATCGATTTCTCTGGGGGCAGTACTGGTCGTCGTTGGGTTTGTAGAGGACGACGTGATGTGAAGAAGATGCGATGGGGAAAAGGCGCGAGGGACAGAAGAGGTGGGAGACCATTTCCAGACGCTTTTGTATTCAGAGAGGAAGGGAAAAATCAGACCTGGAAACTTCCGGAGTGAAAAGGTGGAATCGCCTAGGGAGTGATAAGGTGAGGCACCTCAGGTAGTAGGTGAGGTATTGTGATAGGCAGATGATTCATGATTCTTTGTACCTTATTCACGCCTCGTCCTAAAACACATCATAACTACCATAATTCTCAAGATCGTGTTCATGTACTAAACGCATACTACCCCACCCCTACCACTATCTTTATAGATACTACCCCTACTGGTTTCCCTTCGAGTTCCTATCTTTGTGTCTATATCACTAGATGACTATATGCAAAATTTTGCAGTATAATTGTGACATGGAAGACAGAGATGAGGATAGGTAGTGGTAATGACACAATGAAGACAATACGCTACTTGGCGCACCAGCATAGCATGTTCTTGCAATTTGAATAAAATGTCCCATGTTCAACAGCGGGAAGTGTTTTTCCCATCCAACTGATTCAAAGCACCAAGTCAGGTGGGCTTCATCAAAGCGATTCCATGTTGAGCTACCTACTGACAGCAATGAGCTTCCTGCTGAGGGAAGACCGACCCTAACTAAGATATTCATCAGAATCATCTCTGGTTCATTCGCGTTCGAATGCTCCTAATTCTCATCCCCTTATCTGATGTATTGATATCACTTTGTGGATGTGCCTCCTCCACCATACCCGACTCCAAACTTTCAGTCCGCCACATTCAGTGTCTTCTGGCCGGGGATCAATCCCAAGGCGTTGTATCCGTTGTATCATGATAGAAACCCCCTCACCACTCGCGTTACGTATGCTCAAGAATGCGAAGGTTGAGAGTCTTGGTCCAGTTCAGGTTGCTTTGATGCCTGACGGGCCTTCGACAGTTCAGGGTTCTTCGAAATATTGGGATCCGTATATTTCGGGTCGTCAAGTTGTCCGAAAGTGCGAATCAGCCAGCTGTCGAAGTGCCCTGGCTTCCAATGATGGGGAAACCAGCCGTGAAAGTATTGCATCTTTGGCAAAGACGTCTCGCCCCAGGGATGAGGCGGCTTCTCCCAAATTTGGTAGATCCTGAGAGGCTCCTTCCTCTCATCGTCGATCATCGCATCGACATAGTCAATTGCCACAACACGAGGTTGCTCTGCTTTGAGAACCTCGTCTCCGCGTTTACCCGTGAGAAGAATGTTTTGGGGATCGAGACGCATGTTAACCCCGTGATGAAGCATATTTACGTAGCCTCCCAGGAGCTCCTTGAAGACGTCCAAGCGAACCTTCCTATCAAGATTCCAAGTGGTGCCATCGGCCATCTTGCACTGCTTCATGTTTCGAGGAACTAGAAGGTATTCTTTGGCGGTCCGGAAACAAAGCTCCTCAATGCTGGTGCCTTCAATATACTCCATGATGATGGCTCTGGCGAATCGTTGCTTGTCCTTTACAGCTGAATTTGTAGTCGTCAGCTTGATGGCCCAGGATCCGTAGTATTGAGGTGCAAGGTGTGGATATCCAGTCTTCTTGTGAGTCCAGAGATGCTTATAAGCACCGGCCTCGCGACTATGCTCCTGATCGGCTCTAGATGTCACCTTCCAGGGCCCTTGATACATTCCATACTGGAAGGGGTAGAACATGGCATCGTACACCTTGAGGACTGCAAGCTGACCCACGGTCAAGCGTTCACCGTCGAGAGATTCCACAACTGGGGCCTTGCCGGCGACGTCTGGTTCTTTCTTACCCCCGGTCCCCCGAGATAGAGAGGAACTACCCTCATTCTCCTGGCTGAACAAGTTCGCGATCGAGGACCTGGCAAATCGCTTCTTCACCCGTGTGCTTTTCGTTCTCAAGAGTGAAACGCTTCGAAGCAAGGTTCCTTTTTGTTTCTTGGACATCCTGTCATCGTAATTGGCTTCGTCAACTTTGCACAGAATGACCTGGGTGCCAGCAACAGGCCCACCGGATATGATTTTCATGACGGTGAGGTAGACAGTGGCCTTGTATTGGCCGGCAATAGGATTGCTGATATGTCGGTCGTTATAGACCAAGCCAGTGCGAGAGAGGCGCTTTTCGGCTTCGGACAGAACTTTGTCATCGCTGTCGATGCCTGGAGGATTGGGATACTCGGAACGACCGTAAGGTCGGCGCGGAGATTGGTAGGTGAGCACCAGCTTGCTTCCCTTCTCGTATTGTTCGAAGTCTTTGTAAAGGTTGTCATCGTCAATGAAAGGCACATTTTGTGGTGAGGGTGCAGGCTTCGTGTCGGTAGGAAGTTGATCGCCTGATCGCGGTTCCGGTTTCGGTTGCAGTTGAGTTTGAAGTTGCTCGTCCGAAGGCCCATCTTGCTTCTTGGGGGGCTGCTCGGCCGTTGATGGCAGCTGCTTGCCTTTGGGCGGACCATCCTCAGACCCAGAAGGCGGAGTATGCTCGCGCGACGGCCAAGGCGGTTGTGCTTCGTATGAGGAGGTCATGGACTGAATGAATGGAGTTGCTGAGTCCGGAGAGGTAGAGTACTCGGACGAGTATTTCACCGGAACGTTGGTCAAGCGAATGGGAATTGCTTGGGTCGAGGCGCTCTGAGCTCCAGGTTGGGGCTGGTTGTGTTGAGATCCCGTTGGCTGCGCCAAGATTGTCGGTGATGTTTCGATGGCTCCGATGCTATCTTCACCGGAATCATCGTCAGAGACTTCAGGTTGCTGAATGGGAGCCTTTGGCGGCATCTTGAGCGAGTTGTATGCAGATACCACGCATGCGATGAGACCGTTGAGTCAAGTGATAGTAGACCGAATTGGGCGTGATCTTCCGAAAGAGGCGCGCGATTTGAGAAGAAGTAGAATTTGCGTGGCGCAAATCGGACCAAAAGAAGAGGTGTCCAGGTCGAGTATTAATAGGAAGGATGTTTTTTTTTTTTTTTAAGGGAGAAAGAATATCTGCCTACAGCCTCCAAGGTGCTAGAAGAAGGTTTTCAAATGGACGGGAATGTGAAAGGCTTTCAGTCCATTACTTTGCCTCCCGTACTGCCTAGAAGTCACCTGACTCCACTTTGAGATGGATAAGATGATCCTCTTTACAGTGAAGATATTTCAGGTTGTCTCCCGCCTGAGGCTCCAGGTCGGCACAAAGGGAGGGTGACAGGTGGCTCGGTGAGGGTTTTGCCAAAAAGGCACATATCCAGGCAGCAAGTGACCAACTGGACAATGAATGAATGATTTACCTTTTCTTTGTGTTCTTTCAGGATAATAGGGATTCACCTGTAGGAAAATCTCTTCATGCCCTTTTATCGTCTAGCAGGTGCCCATCTTTGGACTACTAGACTAAAATGATAGGAAGACCAAGGTCCCCTGGTGACTTGACTGGGCGAATCTCAAAGAGGAGGGAGTACCTTTTGATGCCTGATGCAAGTCAGTATAAACCTGCAATACACAACCTTAAATTAGTGGATTGGAGCCACGGAGCCTACTTGGAATACGGGTCATGACCTTCATGTGGTTATATTCCCAGAGCCAAAAAGAAACGTGTTCTTCACATGGAAGGGTCAATCACACCTTAATGGTCTAGTGGGGTACACTCATGGTGAGGTTTGTGGTCTAGAACCGCATTCCCCTTTCTCATCTTGCTGACCATTCCAACCCTGATAGCCTATTGGCTTTCAAAAGTGATGACTTTAGACACCGATTCCTTTCAAATAATGACACTAGCAGCATTGGGAGTAAGCTACACTTAACTGCCTACAAAAGAAGGTAGATAGGTGGGTGACAAACTAGTTCCTTTCAATATCTTGCTTCTATCTCTGTTACTCCTACTCCCGCTGTCCTGTTGATAATCTTCGTCACTCAAGAGATTTCGCTCTTTATACACTAGTCTATATAAACTATGCCTCAAGACACGTAGTCAGGGGATACTAATGGTAGTGGTCATAAGGAAAGTGAAACTCTTGCGTGGACCGGTATTCTATTCTATCATGTAAGGTACTTGGTAGGGTATAGTCTAAGAAAGAAACGAAAACATGACAGGAAAAGCGGCGTTATTCAATACCAGTCATTACCATCTTGGTGACCAAAAACTCGTCAATGCCGTACTTGCTTCCTTCGCGGCCAAATCCGCTCTGCTTCACGCCACCAAAGGGCGCGGCGGGATCACTGATGGCTCCTAGAAGCAGCTCGTTAGCAAAAGCCTGACATCAAATGCTCTCACAACTGGACAACTTACCAATGTTTACGCCAACCATGCCAACCTCGAGCGCCTCCGCCACACGCCAGCACCGCGACACGTCCTTGCTGAAGAAATACCCCGCAAGACCAACGTCCGCATCGTTGGCAAGCTCGACGGCCTGCTCCTCGGTATCAAATGCAAACAACGCCGCCACGGGCCCAAACGTCTCCTCGGAGCAGATCTTCATGCCGGGCTTCATGTCCGCCAGCACGGTGAGGTCAAAGTAGTTGGACCCCAGCTCGGTCAGGGGCTTGCCGCCGAGAAGCACCCGCGCGCCCTTGGCGACGGCATCCTTGACGTGCTCGTCGACCTTGGCGACGGCGCGGTTGTGGATGAGCGGGCCGTGCGTCGTCGTCTCGGCGAACCCGTCGCCGACGGTAAAGGTCTTGATGGCGTCCACGACCATCTGCGAGAACTTGTCGTACACGCTGCTGTGGACCAGGATCCGGTTAGCGCACACGCACGTCTGGCCCGAGATTCTGAACTTGGACGCGATGAGGCCCTTGAGCGCCGCGTCTAGATCGGCGTCTTCGAAGACGATGAAGGGGGCGTTGCCGCCGAGCTCAAAGGACAACTTCTTGAGTGTTGAGGAGCATTGGTTCATCAGCAGCTTTCCGACGCCCGTCGAGCCGGTGAAGGACACTTTCTTGATGACCGGGTGCGTCGTCAGCACT